ACTGGAATTGATGTGAATATTAAATTCAGGAGGTTAATAATTTGTGATCTGTTTCCGTTTATACTATGTAGAAATTCCTATCGTAACCATGAATCTCTTACCTGGTTGCAGGATTGATGATTTTGAGTTCACACCTGAGTGTGCAATATTTGATTTACTTGACATTCCCTTATATCATGGATGGATAGTTGATCCCCAGGTACATCATTTTGTTTCATGCTTTATCTAAATGGCTCAGTCTACTTATAAAAGTTTAATTTTAGAGTAGCTTTCGATAGTATAGGTCGTTGACGTTAGTGCTTTTGTTTGTGGATGTTTGGGATGTGGGGTCATTTTTTCTTGTTTTTCTTCTTGAGATACAAAACATAGTCTACTTTATTCTTTGTATCCATTGTTTGGCTCGTTATGGATATGAACAGTGGACAAAAGCACTCCTTTTAAGATGGTGTCTTTATCAATTCTAGCTATGTAGTAAAAGAACTGATTTTAATTGCTTTCCCTCTGCATACTTCCAGGATGTTGAAGCAGCTAATGCAATTGGAAGCAAGTCATATAATGCTCTAATGGGTGAGCTCGTTGCACTGGAGACTCAGAATGTAGAGACTCAAGGCGATCAAAATCCTGGAGAAGATTCTGTTGATTTTGCTGCAGCAACCACTGCAGCTTTAGGGGTTCCTTCACCATGTCTTTCGAAAACAAGATCTTTTGATGATTCTCCACCTGCGGCTGCAGAGCTTCGTAGAATGAGAAAGGGGGACCTTGAAGAAGAAACTGAGTTGTTGCAAGCCTTGCAATTATCACAGGGGCAGGGGAATGATTCAGCACCTAACACTCACGGAGACTCAACCAATGAAGACTCTGCATTCACATTTTCAGATGCCACTCAAACTAGCCCCCGTTGTGATAATATCAGTAACCTAGAACAGTTCAAATCTGATAATAAATCACCAGAAAATGATGGGAATATGATTAAAGTTGAGGAATTCCCAACTTCGGGTACGATTGAAAATGGGGATCCGCCATCAGTGGAGAAGACTGATTTGGAGTCGGCCAAAGTTGATAGCGGTTCTGAGAGTCTAGTCAAGTCTGATACAACTTCTAATCCAGGTAGTTTTTGCTCACTCTCTTAGATGGAGTAACCTCATCTGTGCCTCTTTACATAATTCATCTGCTCCTGCATTTTATATCCTTGTACTGGCTAAACTTACACTGAGAATTTTATAGATGAATTTCTTATTAAATGTCCACTGCATCTGCAGATTTTGGTTGCAGACCCCAGGAGGATGATGTATCCAACGCTTTGACCTCGAGCGTACCTACCGATGAACCCATGTATGAAGGTGAGGAATGTGTAAACGCAGTGGCTCCAGTCTGCGCAGACAAAGAACCTGTTTATGAAGGTGAGTCACTTCTTGGAAAAAGAGCTGAGAAGAATGTTGGTGATTGTTCTTCTGAAGGGAGGGCTACGGATGGGCTCACAGCAGCAGAAGGTGATTCATACTCTATCTGATCTCCTTGGCATATGCTTGTCACACATTTTGGGAAACTCATACATGCATGTCATTTTGCATAGAGACATCCCATATATTCTTGAGATATTAATTTCATTATTGTTGAGCTTTGCAAGGTGAATTAATCAGGAACTTCATGAAGAATAGTGCCAGTCAATTAACCTTTTGTGGGTGCGTGATGTGATTCATGGTTGGAAAATTGTATTCTTTAATTGACTACCTTGGTATCATCTTACGTTTATTATTGTTCGTATCTTACAGACTCTTCCGCTTGCAAGAAGGCCTTAAGGAACGTGAACTCTGTGTTTTTTTTCGCAACAATCATTTCTGCACCATGTTCAAGGTTAGTCTAATTTGTAGTTTCTTTTTCCATCGTTTGGATTGTAACAGGTTGATTCCAGTTAAATACTTCTTGTTGCTGTCATTTTTGCAGTATGAAGGTGAACTTTATCTTTTGGCTACAGATCAAGGTTACTTGAATCAGCCTGATTTGGTTTGGGAAAAGCTAAACGAGGTATGATCAAAGTTATCTACTCATTAGTGCCGTCTAAGGAGGATATCATTATATCCACAAACTCTTTAGTGCAATGGCTTGTTGTGGCCACTATTTGACATGCAATCCGGTTTCAGGTTAATGGCGACACTGCGTTCATGACTAGCACCTTCAAAGATTTCAAGATTGACAGCAATACAAGTAGCGTAACTGGCACATGGGATGAACGAAACGCAGTCACAAATACTGCTGTATGTTCTCCTCAAAACACAGTCACACTAATCCACACATGATCTCCTTCGTCTACCATTTTTAACCATTGTTTCTTTTACCTTGTTTTCCTCACAGGATTATCTCGCTAGCATCAACAATGTCCCGGACACAGGCATGGATGTCAAGTAAATTATCTCCTATCTTTCTTTCACCACTAATAAATTCATTATCTTTTGACGAATATTCCTTTGTTTTTTAGTGAAACACATTTGTGAATCTTTTATAGCTCTGATCTACAATTGGCGATAGCTTTACAACAACAAGAGTTTGAGGACCAAAGCCCACGCAGTAACTCAACTCTGCAACCAACAAGTGTTGGCGCCTCCCGACTAATCACTGGTCCACAGGTACTTTGATTCCTGCTCATAACACTACAATTAGATAGACAAAAAATAACAACAATATTGTAGAGAAACAGGAGTATGATCATACACCGTAAGTTCTGTTTACCAATACCTAGTGTGATTGTAACATCGCACGATAATGATCATATACCGTAATGAAAATTACATTGAAATCGTAGCATTGCTTCTTTGTTTGGTGTTGTTTCGATGAATGTTAATTAATCAGTGATTGAATTTGACCATTGAAGGTACCAAGGAGCAGCCCCAGGGCATCATCAACTGCAGCATCTGCGTCTTCAAGGCACGATGGCAAATCCTCCAAAGATAGCAAATGTAGAATCATGTAAATGTCCTCATTTCACTTCTGTAAATTTCCATCCTTTTTTCTTAACTTGAGTTTTTTTTTTCTGGTTTTAACAAAAACGTAATAAACTGTAATTGCGCTTTGCCTTTAAAAAAAAATTACTACTATTTTTGTTGCTCACAAATAAGAGCTTTTATTTCAGTAGTGAGAGACGAATTAATGGTTGAGTACGTTTTCTTAAGTTAATGTTTTTTGACGGCATAACCTATGATTTGTATGTCTTTTTTTTTTTTTTTTCAAATGTAATACTTGAATTCGAGAACTCGGTCCCAGAACTATACAAGTTGCTTTTACGACTTATTAGAACTTGCAATAGATTATTTCATATTCAAAGTACTTGTGCTTGATTTAGACTAATTTGTATTTCTGTACAAGGTCCATTTTGTTATTTTACTTTTTGGTAAGACAATGATGTGCTAGGATCGCGACTGATAATTTGAATTCCCTATATCTAAAGAAGCTGTTGAAAATTATGGCTCATAGCTAACGAAGAATTCAACGATGAAAATGTCATTTCCATTGAAGAAAATGTCAATATATAATTAAATTACATTCCTCTATGATTAAATTTTAATGATGATGTCGAATGTTTACCTTTGTTCATATATATAAATTAGTAACATCTACCAATCAAAAATCAAAAATTAAGGAGGGGGACCAAAGAAAAAGAGTTTCGTGAGCAGCCGAACCAAAGTGGAAGTCTTCGTCGTCACTTAAAAAACAATTAAGTACTATTTTTCTTTTGGCATTTGTAATTTAATGATAGTATAATTAGTGTAATAAGTAGTCATTAATGGCTAAAGTTAGACCGATTCAACAACGGCAGCAAAATCTTAAATATCCAGCTTATACTTTTCCGATTCTTCCGTTTCAAGTCAACGTTACCTTAGTTTCCTCCCACCTTCTTCTCACGAGAATCACAAAACTTTCTTTGAATTACCCTTTTTTTTTAGATCTCCCTTATTTCATAGATTTGATCTGATTCTATGTATCAAAGTTCTTGATCTTGATTGCCCGCCAAGTGTTCGATCTTTGGCCTCACTGAACTTTTCTTTTTTTTTTGGTTACCACTGAAAGTTTCTTGCTTTGGTGGTTTTGATGGCGCATCATCCGATCTATACCGAGACTATGTCAATGGGAGGGTCAAGCCATGGGTTGGGTCAGCAATTCGTGCCCTTTGCTACGAGTAGCGGTTCTTTGAGGGTTGAGTTGTTACATGGTAACTTAGACATTTGGGTTAAGGAAGCTAAACATCTTCCTAACATGGATGGGTTCCACAACAGACTTGGTGGGATGTTGTCTGGGTTAGGACGGAGGAACAGTACCAAAGTGGAAGGTGAGAAATCTTCCAAGATTACAAGTGATCCTTATGTCACTGTCTCTATCTCAGGTGCTGTGATTGGAAGAACTTTTGTGATCAACAACAGTGAGAATCCTGTCTGGATGCAGCATTTTGATGTACCGGTGGCTCATAGTGCTGCGGAAGTACATTTTGTGGTGAAAGACGATGACATTATTGGATCACAGATCATGGGAGCTGTTGGAATCCCAACTGAGCAGTTGTGTTCAGGGAATAGAATCGAAGGGTTCTTTCCGATACTTAACAGTAGAGGGAAGCCTTGTAAAGCGGGTGCTGTGTTGAGTTTGTCTATTCAGTATACTCCTATGGAAAGAATGAGACTTTACCAAATGGGTGTTGGTTTTGGTAACGAGTGTGTAGGAGTTCCTGGTACGTACTTCCCTTTGAGAAAAGGCGGTAGGGTTACTCTGTATCAGGATGCTCATGTTGATGATGGTACTCTTCCCAGTGTACATCTCGATGGTGGGATTCAGTATAGACATGGAAAATGCTGGGAGGATATGGCTGATGCGATCAGACAGGCAAGGAGGTTGATTTATATCACAGGTTGGTCGGTTTTCCATCCAGTTAGGCTGGTTCGTCGTAATAATGATCCAACAGACGGTACATTAGGGGATTTGCTTAAAGTCAAATCTCAAGAAGGTGTTAGAGTGTTGGTTTTGGTGTGGGATGATCCAACTTCAAGGAGCCTTCTGGGGTTCCAAAAAGTAAGAATCTACACAGCTCTGTTTTTTTTTTGCTGCTTAAGACATTCTATATTTGCTTACCTAAGTCAGATTTACAGATATCTTCGTTACGTGTATCCTATAAACTATATGCTAGTAGCTAGATTGGCATTTCGTTGGAATTCGAATAGGTTTCTACAATGAGAACATCTTATAGTTTACTTTATACAGTTTGCCGAACTAGCTTTATGGAGCTATATATAGTTTTTTTTGGATATTGCATTGCTCTGTTTTCTTACAGATGAGGCCCGTCTAGTTGCATTTTATTCAGTGCCTTTTGATTCATTCCCCTGCTTTTAGGATTCTAAATTTTTATACTTGCTCTGTTAATCCTGTTGGAGAGTATGATATTGCTATGATTAGATCATTTTTGACATGTTTGAGTACTAACTGAATCAACAATCCATTTATCGTTTTAATAAAATCTGGTGTTTTGTTGCATGTAGCAAGGAATAATGAACACAAGCGATGAAGAGACTCGCCGGTTTTTCAAGCATTCGTCAGTGCAAGTTCTCCTTTGTCCTAGATCTGGGGGGAAAGGTCACAGCTTCATTAAAAAATCCGTAAGATGGTCATTAGTTATTGCATTACTTCTTAAAATCCCGTAGGTATAGCTTCGTCATCTAAAATCTGAGTGTCATTATGATGATCAGGAAGTTGGAACTATCTACACCCATCACCAAAAAACTGTGATTGTAGATGCTGATGCAGCTCAGAATAGAAGAAAGATCGTAGCGTTTGTTGGAGGGCTAGACTTGTGCAATGGACGATACGATACTCCCAAACATTCTCTCTTTAGGACGTTAAAGACACTCCATAAAGATGACTTCCATAACCCAAATTTTGTGGTAACCAATCACGAAAAATCCTGTTTGGTTTCAATTTTGGCATTAGATACTACGATTCTTGATCTATGTAAATAATCTTTTCTCTTATTAGACTACTGTTGATGATGGACCAAGAGAACCGTGGCATGATCTGCACAGCAAGATTGATGGTCCAGCTGCATATGATGTGCTTGCTAATTTTGAGGAACGGTGGCTGAAGGCTTCAAAACCTCGCGGAATTGGGAAACTAAGATCGTCTTCTGACGATTCTTTGCTTAAGATAGACAGAATTCCCGACATTATGGGAATAGCCGAAGCTTCTTCTGCTAATGAGAATGATCCAGAGTCATGGCATGTTCAGGTAATTCATCAAGTCTCATTTGTTCAAATTTGATGATAACTCATGATGCATTATTGTTATATGTGGTAGTGACAAAAGGAATCTCATTTCTTGCTATGAATTGATCTTTAGGTTTTCCGTTCAATTGATTCAAGCTCAGTCAAAGGGTTTCCAAAGGACCCAAAGGAAGCTACTGGAAGAGTAAGCACAACTCTGAACAGTTTTAACTTGTCCATTTGAATCACCACCATGTTGCTACTCTCTACTGATTATTAATATGTGAACAGAATCTTCTGTGTGGGAAAAATATACTCATAGACATGAGCATACACGCGGCTTATGTTAAGGCCATCCGATCTGCTCAACACTTCATCTACATTGAGAACCAATATTTTCTTGGATCATCATTCAACTGGGATTCAAACAAGGACTTGGGTAAGGAATTTTAAGCTTTTGGAGGCAAGCTCAGTACAAGGATTTAATCAATGTGCAGTAATGACAAGACGGAGTTTTTGCATTGCAGGTGCCAATAATCTAATCCCGATCGAAATCGCACTTAAGATTGCTAACAAAATTAGAGCAGGGGAGAAGTTTGCTGCTTATATTGTCATTCCAATGTGGCCAGAAGGTGCTCCAACAAGTAACCCTATACAGAGAATTCTGTTCTGGCAGGTAAATACTTTGTCCATTGTTTGCGAATATCTCTCTCGACAAACAATCTTGCCTTCTTTATACCGGAATCTTTCTCATGATCTGTGCAGCACAAAACCATGCAAATGATGTATCAAACCATCCACAAGGCACTTGTGGAAGTCGGTATTGATGGTCAGTATGAGCCACAAGACTTTTTGAACTTCTTCTGTCTTGGAACCAGAGAGGTTGCTGATGGAACAGTTAGCGTATATAGTCCTCGGACTCCACCTCAGCCAAATGCAAATGCAAATGCTTCACAGGTACATAGATAGATGAATCCTGCTGAAATCTTCGGTTTTGCTTTAATTGCTTCGTTTACTCACTGAAACAACAAACTAATCCAGGTGCAAGCATTAAAGAGTCGGAGATTCATGATATATGTTCATTCTAAAGGTATGGTAGTTGATGATGAGTTTGTCTTAATTGGTTCCGCGAATATCAACCAGAGATCTTTGGAAGGAACTAGAGACACTGAAATCGCCATGGGCGGGTATCAACCTCACCACTCATGGGCTATGAAAGGATCTCGTCCTCGTGGTCAGGTAAAAACTTTCAAAGACTTATACTATTTTTCAATATCAGTTTGCTTTCTATAACACCGAAAAGGATAAACAGAAATCCACCAATCTATGTCGTCTAAAACATGTTTGAAACTTGGTATTGTTGCAATTTCCCCATTTTATTGCAGATCTTTGGATACAGAATGTCGTTATGGGCAGAACATTTAGGGTTTCTAGAGCAAGGTTTCGAGGAACCAGAGAACATGGAATGCGTGAGACGAGTTAGGCAATTGAGTGAGCTCAATTGGAGACAGTATGCAGCAGAGGAGGTCACAGAGATGAAAGGTCATCTTCTTAAGTATCCGGTTCAAGTAGATAGAACAGGCAAAGTGAGTTCTCTTCCTAAATGCGAGACATTCCCAGATCTCGGTGGCAAGATCATCGGTTCGTTCCTTGCGCTACAAGAAAACCTCACCATCTGAAACCTACCTCAGTACCTTGTAGTGTTCAACATTTGTTCTTTGTTTCTTCCACTTCAAGAAACCTCTCTCAGTGTGATATGAAAGAAAAGTGTGCCTTTAGGATATAATTGTGCTTTTTGATTTCTACGAGCTGTAAATTTTTTCAATTCAATGTTACGATATTACAATTTGTGGGTAAAAAAGGATCTGAAG